ATGAATGAAAGTATAGGTATTGTTAAATGATAATGCATCTTCTATATATCTAATTGTATAGATGAAGGCCACTGCATTTTTTTCTTTTTTGTAGAAGATTTTGAATAAATTTTGTTTCAGAGGAATATAAAACATGTCAGCTAATAAAGAAACAAAGATAATGTCGGGATTCTTATAATCTGTTGGAAGACTTTATCTTCGAAAACTACATAAATATTGTCATGAATCTCCACCATCCTACAAATTTCAACTTCAGACTACTTTTGTGTAGAATCTGTGATCATTAAGAAAGTAACTTAGTGGATAACCAATATTACGGCGTAGGAAAATGTCCTACTTTCATTTTTCTTGAAGCATTTATTAACCTTTTATTTAACTCTTTTAATTGAAAGTAGTATGTATAAACTATTAATGTATTGAAAATTCAACGACATTCCTGTCTCCTTATAGTCTTCAAATTTTGCACATATTAGAATTCTCCAGAAATCTTGGTCAAGATTCGCCAAGTTCAAATTTGAATCAATAATTTGTTAGCCTGAACGCCAGTTCAAGATAAGGTAAATGATGCAAGAGAATATATAGAACAAGCAAATTCAAAGAATTGTGGTCCCCCGCTTTCGGTGTCTTTGTGGATGAGATGTCATTTTTTATGTCACATTGTGTCTAATATGAACATCCTATCATATGTCATTTATTTAGAAATTATCACTGAAGTTGATTTTTAAAAAAAAAATAAGGTCAATTGTGAAGGTCAAGGTCAAGGAGTAAGAATTCATAGCATGCTCGGAAATATCTTGTCACAGATAATGCACATGTCAAATATGAAAGTCCTATCTCTTCTCAATATAAGGAACAAGATGTGTTTGTGAAACACAGATGACCTCGTATGGCAACATAACAAAGATTTAACATTTCTTAATTCAAATGAAATATATTTGATATTACCCAAAGTAGGGTTTTCAGACAAGAAATACGATTGTGAAATACAAAATCCCATCCCCCTGTTCAAAAGAAAGTTATGGCCAAGGATACATTTTTGAAAGGTAGGTCAAACTCCAAGGTGAAAGGATCTGAGTTGTTGATTTCATTAAAAAGGTCACAAGTAATACATATGTGAAGGATGAAAACCCTAACCTTAACCGTTCAATAGTTATGGCCAAGGTAAAAGTTTTGGAAAAGTAAGTCAATCTCCAAGGTCAAAGGGTCAAAGTTCTTGGCATCCAATGAAAGGTCTTCTCATAAGGATTACATATGTGAAGTACGAAAGCCTTAGCCTTTACCGTTCAAATGTTATGGTCAAGGTTAAACTTTTTTTTTCAAAAGTACGGAAATCTCCAAGGTCAAAGTCAAAATGTCAGAATGGTTGGTATCCAATGAAAGGCCTTGCCACAAAAAATACATATGTGAAATATGTAAGTCCTAGTTTCTACCATTCAAAAGATATGGTCAAGATTAAAGTTTTTTCATAAGTACGGAAATCTCCAAGGTCAAAATGTCAAAGTTGTTGGTATCCAATTAAAGGTCTTGCAACAAAAAATACAAATGTGCAAAAATATGAAGTCCTACATGTAGTATCTACCGTTCAAAAGTTGTGGCCATGGTCAAAGTTTTTGAAAATTAGGTCAATCTCCATGATCAAGGTCAAAGGGTCAAAGTTCTTGGTATCCAATGAAAGGTCTTTTTACAAGGATTACATATGTGAAGTACGATAGCCCTAGCCCTTTCCGTTCAAAAGTTATGGTCAAGGTAAAAGATTTTTCATAGGTCTCTAAGGTCAAGGTTAAAAGGTCAAAATTGTTGGTATCCAATGAAAGGCCTTGACACAAAAAATGCATATGTGAAATATGAAATTCCTAGTTTCTACTATTCAAAAGATATGGCCAAAGTAAAAAATTGGATTTTTTGTGTAAAAGTGGGTCAAACTCCAAGGTCTAGGTCAAAAGGTCAAATATGGTGGTACCCAAAGAAAGGTCTTCTCACAAGGGACACACAAGTGAAATATGAAAGTCATAGCTCCACTAAATCAAAAATAATGGGCAAGGTTAAAGTTTTTGTGACGGACGAACAGACGAATGAGATTTAATGTCCCCTCGCTTTCGCTAAAGCGGGGGACAATAAAGAAGGCAATAAATTGTTATTTTATTCATTATGGTTTTATTTTGATCGGGATTGGTCCAAAATGATTTTTTTTTTCAATTTGCCATTTCATTTCAATTTCTTGCCAAAAAGACTGAGACTAGTCAAAATTCACATATACTTTGATCATTAGTAAACTTTAAGTGAATCATCGTGCATACGTACAGATATTTCTCCATCAGATAATAAAGGCTTGTCATAATTTTTAATTCTTATACCACCAACCTTTCACTTGCTATTTGACTTCGAATTAAAGTCATGACACTCCTTAGGTTCATAAACAGTACCTGTATCAGGTTCCAATGAGCAATCTTTGTATCAAGTACGAGCTCCTAGTATTTCTACATTGTTAAATTAAAGTCTTAAAAAAATAATTTTACACTATTCTGCCTGTAACTTTGAACTTGCTGCATTGACACTGGATTAAAATAAGAACTTTCCTTATTTCAAAAACAATACCTGTACCAATTCTTTTCCAAATAAGTTTTAGCCGAGACATTTTTTCTTTCTTTTTTCTACCAGTGACCTTGAAATCGCCAAATGACCTTGGATAAAGGTCGAGGCATATTCTTCGATCATAAGCAATATCTGTACCGAGTATGAGCTTCCACTGACTCTCTATTACAAAGTCAAGTTATGTCTTAACTTTTTTCTACTAATAAACTTGAACTAAATGGAATGACTGGATAAGATCACGACACATTTTTGGGTCATAAGCAATCCCTGTACCAGGTTTGAGCTTCCAGTGATTCTTTCTACAAAGTTATGACCCAGACAAAAATTTCATACTTTTAGGCCAGTGACCTTGAACTTGCAGGAATGACCTTGTGTCAGATCAGGACTCACTGTCGGGTCATTACAGGCAAGCTCTATAACAAGTATAAGCTTCCAATGTTTCCATATATCAAAGTTAGAGCCTAGACAAAATTACATTCACAGACAATGTGATTCCTATATATCCCTAAACCTTCCTTTGTTTGGGGTAAAAAGAGAAGTTTCATAACAAGGAATACACATTTGAAATATGAAAGCCCTAGCACTAATCATTCACATCATTTTTTTTTTTTACCAAAGTAGGTCAAAGACTAACTTAAAGGTTAAAAAAAGTTCAAAAGGACTTTATTGCGCCTTTTACATTCATCTTTGAAATCGAAATTGAAAGTACAGAAACAAAACCAATTTCTACACCAACGAGTTCGTTGCAGTTTGCTTACCATTGTATGGCAGTTGCAGGGGTGTGCCCAGTGCTACCGTTTTTGGGGTAGTAAAAATTAAAATTATGCATATAATATAATACATGAGAAATACAAACGGTATTTTCACTCATTGTTCTGCTATTTAATTTCCAACTAATAAAAATTTTCCAGGCAACATGCTCCAACTGTTCCTAAATTACTTCAACCTTATCCATTTTGAAGTACTACCTGACTTATTTACTTCAAAAAACGATCGTTTTTTCCTAATCCGAATTTCCTCCATTCCTCTGGTAATGGTAGATACATGCAGATATCTCTTTCCATTATTTACGGTCCCCCAATCAACTAATAGCTAAGTGTTATGTGGTTAAACTTTAATATATATCAATTGTATTTAATGGTTTGAAATGAAAATAAAATGATTTTTGCTTCATTTTAGATAAGCTACACTAGTACAATATGTTCAGAAAAGAAAAGATAATATAATTTCTTAAAATTTTTAAATTTCAACTTTAAAAGGGATGGCTTAAGACCCTGACTTTCTCAACAATGAACTTTTTACAATATTTGTTTTTACAATTTTTTGCCCCTATATTTGGACTGCTCACTTTTAACGAATCGGGCTAGTAACTTTATTGCTGTTACAAGCCTGTGGGCTAGTACTTGATTTTTTTTAATTGCACACCCCTGAGTAAAAAGTTGTAAGGCAGTTGGCAAGAAACCACCCATATTACAAGCCAAACAAAAGTAAGGCACCATACAATGGTAAAACTGTTTTTTAATTCAACCAATTCATGTGAATTTTGTATAAAAAAATTCAATAAAATAAAAAAAAATTCCTACCTACCGACCCTACCGTATAGCGGGTTATTTTAGCGGGGTGCTAATTTTGGCTTATTTTGGCGTTTTGATGATACTCCGCTAAAATTTAATCGCGTAAATAGTCCGTACTCTTCTTAGTATCCATCTGCAAAGAGCTGAATCCATGTACCCGCTAAAATAAATTACGCCAAAATTAATGGCATACTTTTGAGCAGGCAAAACGCCAAAAAAAACCCGCTATACGGTATTTTATTTCAGCATGTAACAGTAAACAAAGATATTTTTTTGTTTGGCCTAACAACTAAAAGAAGGAAAAAGTGTTGCATACAAAGATAAAACTAAATTAGATATGCAAGAAGCCCATGGGCCACATCACCCACCTGAGTAACTTTGGCCATTATGTTATTAAACAGATTTCCCCCTAATACCTATCTTGACCAGTTTCCCAATCCCCAGGGGTCATGATCCAAGCAATTTAGAATCTACACTAGTAACACTACCCCAGGATGCTTCCACAGAAGTTTTAGCTTTTCTGGCCCAGTGGTTTTTGAGAAGATTTTTTTATGACCCCACCCTATTTTTGTATATTCTTGACAATTTCCCCTCGGAACGGGACTTTATTTTTATAATTTAAACTCCCACTACCCAAGGATGTTTTGTACTAAGTTTGGTCAAAATTGGCCCAATGGTTCTCAAGAATAAGCTGAAAATGTGAAAAGTTTACAGATGAATGGACAGTCAGACGGATGGACGACGGACAACAGGTGATCAGAAAATCTCATATGAGCTAAAAACTGCAAGGCCTGCTATGTAAATCAAAGGAGAGAAAATATAAAAGAATTTAGATTTTGCATATTGTTATATTTATTTATAATCTAAAACACTAAAAAATAATAATGTTACAATGAGATCACTTTATCTTTTCTAGCAATTTTCAAACTAAAATTAGATATCATTGAGATGGTGGCCATCTCAAAGGGTCCCACTTTCAGCAATGAACATAAAAATGTAAAGTAGCTGAAAGGGGTTTTAACCTTGACTCTTGGCCTAGAAACTTTGTTCAAGGTCATTACACATCCATTGAACAGTGGCACTCTGTGAGAGAAGTATTAGCCACATTGGACCAAGGGGAGAAAGCATATGCTCTGGACAAGGATTCACAATAAAAAAAATTACTTCCCTTTCTCTTAAGCTTCGATATTCAGACAAGCACTGATTTACCTCTCTTGATATATCATTGAGATGGTGGCCATCTCAAAGGGTCCCACTTTCAGCAATGAACATAAAAATGTAAAGTAGCTGAAAGGGGTTTTAACCTTGTACTCATGGTTGAATCCTAGAAACTGTTTTGTTCAAGGTCATTACACATCCATTGAACAGTGGCACTCTGTGAGAGAAGTATTAGCCACATTGGACCAAGGGGAGAAAGCATATGCTCTGGACAAGGATTCACAATAAAAAAAATTACTTCCCTTTCTCTTATGTAGCTTCGTGATATTTGAAGACAAGCACCGATTTACCTCTCTTGATATTTTTGCTTAAAAATCCAATCTTTAACTTTTTTAAATTAAAAAATATAATATACAGATACAAAAAAAAAACATTCAGAAAAAATAACGTAGTATATGAAAAGTTGTACAATAATGTAGTAACACAACTTTGAATAATCTGCTGTGGATGTCATATGAGTTGTCCTTAATGAGTTATGTACTCAGCATGGTACACTGAATCCTGAGAATTAAGCTGTTTACCGTGTCCATCACTTTGTAGATATTAGTACATACTCAACTCTGTCCATTGGATTCTGTGAGTTAAGCTATTTAGTGTGTCCATCACTTTGTAGATAACAATGTACTCAGCACGTACGGTCCATTGAATTTTGTAAGTTAAGCTATTTAGTGTGTCCATCACTTTGTAGATATTGTACTCAGCACTATCCATTGAATTCTTTGAGTTGAGTTATGTAGTGTGTCCATCACTTGCAGTCCAAACCTTAAATTACTCTCTGCACTATTGTTGAAGCATATTTGTCTGCTATCAAAGAAACATGAAATTGATGGCAGTTTGCCTGTAAAAAAGGAAATCACAAGGACTCAACAAAAATATTAATAAAATCTTAATAAATGAAAAATAGCTAACATATTTTTACAGAATAGAAGGATTAATTTTGCAGAGCTTGTACATGTGTCTTACCTTTATTTTCAGGTCCCATAGTTGATCTCTTTGGAGTCTTGAGGAATCATGTTGATCTGCTTTTGGAAACAGGATCAATGCCAGCATAACCGTCACTCTGCCTATTAACAAAAAGACACTAAGAATCCAAGCAATGAGAGAGTCAAAATCTCCTCTAATTCACATAATGCAAGGTCTAGAGCTTTACATGCACCTGATCTGACTAACCATCAATGTTTAGGTTAGACAGTAGTAAGTCCTTACTTTCCACATTCTTGTTAACTGATTGAGATCAGTCTCATCTTCTACTTGTTAACAAAGGAAATCCAAAGATAATGAAAAAAACATGAACAAAAATACCTTGCGCCAAAATGTTCACCTGAGTCACCTTGACTTTGTCATCAAAAGAAAAATTCTTAATTCATATTTTTTCCACTAATCCTAGTCCAAAGGGATCATGATGTAACGTAATTTGAAACAACACATCCTCGGGATGCCCTGTTGTTATTGCAACACAGTCTTGCTGTTGTGCAGCAGAAGTAAATCCCCCTGGACCTATGATTTGATAAGTGTTAATAAAGAAAATTTGTAAATTGCAAAAAATAAATCTTTTTACCCACTCCTTAATCAGATATTGGCTGCTGTACAAAGCTTGGCAATAGACTCTTCTTTTTCTTCACTTGGTCAGCACTGGTCCTCTTCCCTTGTCAAATTCCTTGAAAATACTTGATGGAGAGAAGATAAGCAATAATACAAAGCAATGTAATAATCACAGAAATTCAAATGAACATAATCATTACAACATTATTAGCTTGAAAATCAAAAAGCAAATAGAGACAATAAGGTTATGATAGCTAGGAATAAGGTGGAATATTGGGGCAAGGAGAGGAAAGCATAGTTACTTTAGAGTAGGGAGGACAAATATATGTCAGAAATAATTAAATAAAAAATACTTGTAAGACTCCTGCCTGTTAAAGTGGGTCATGATGAAGTTCCATAGGTAAAAAAGAAGTAAAGTCTGATTCTTAAGAGTATTCTCCTCATGGCTGCAGCGGAATGGGAAAGGGAATGATATTCCTCACTTAGAATTCCTAGTCAGTCTTAACTTTCTTCTGCTTAAAAAGATAAAACAGAGACATAAAAGGGGAAACACTTGCACTTCATACCAAGTGAGAAGCTTCAGTAAAAAGCAGCTTGTTGCTTACCACTTTTGAAACATAATACCTGCAAAACACAGACAGGAATAGACTCTTCTTATATTAATGACCTTGGTCCTCCATTGTTGTTCCTCTTCTGAATCAAAGGGGAACTGAAATCTGTCAATTGAAAGTCCAGATGTTAAAGCTTGATACAGCCAACACCAATAGGCAAGCAAAGATACAAGAAGTAAAATCTGAATCTTACCCTGCTTTCTGCTGCTGTATGCAGTTCAATGAGAGAGGGAGTCCTCCTCACTTCAGGATCCTGTTCAGCCTTAAAAGTATTCCAAAGATAAAAATTAACAGACACCAAAAGGGGATCACTTGCACTTCATACCAAGTGAGAAGATTTCTAAAATAAACTAGTGGCCAATGGGCAATATGCTCACCTAAGCATATTGGCTAGTAAATGACAAATTAGTCCAGTATTGAAAAGTATAAAATTTAGGAAGAGGAGAAGGGGGCTTGAATAACTACCTGGAGACATTTTCATATCAATAACAATGTCTTAGCTGTTCTTGAACATAAAATTTTTTCCCATATATTCCTTTGTTAAAATTTTATCCCCATTGATGCCCCTCCCTGTCCCTTGGAATCAAGATTTGGACAAATTTGAATCTACACTACCTAAGGATGCTTCCATATCAATATGACTATATATGGCTTTGGTATTATTGAGAAGACGTTTCCTATATACTGTAAATCACTTCATTTTCACGACACCTTATTTTCGCGAGATAGTCAATGACTCTTCATTAGCGAGACAAAATTTTCAAAATTGTGGTCATTACTCTATATAATCTTAAGGAATTATATTATATGCGAGAATGAAATTTTCGTGACCATACCGTCTCGCGTAATAATGTGAAAATAAAGTTCTCGCGAAGAAAAAGTGATTTACAGTAGTCCCCTGTCCATTTTGATCCACCGTTGGGGCCCTGCCCTTCACCTGGGAGTCATGATTTGAACAAACTTAAATCTACACTACATGAAGATGCTACCGTATACATATCACCAGTCATGACATAATTGTTTTTGAGAAGATTTCTAAAAATATTTCCAATATAATCCAACGTAAAACTTTGATTGTCCAATGTGGCCCAAACCTTTTCCCGGTAGACAAGATTTGAACAAAATGAAATCTTCACTACCAAAAAGGATGATTTGCTATCAATATAACTACCGGGGTAATTGTGGTTTGAGAAAAAAAAATTATATCCCTACATACTGTAGATTCCTAAATATGTGCATGGAATTAATTTTTGCGTAATTTTGTGAGAAGCACCACACACAAAATTAAATTACTCGCCTTTATTTTTATGGCGCTGAAATCTATGTAAAATCTCTTAACCAACCATGCATTTGCGAATTATTATTCTTGTGATTTGATGGTGAAAAGCCTATTCGCGATAATTACTCGAGAAAAATAAGGAATCTACAGTATTATACATGTATATATTTTTGATCCCTATTCTGACACCAACATGGGGTCTTGATTTGACTAATTTTGAATCTACACTACCTGAGGATGATGCCACATAAGTGTCTCTTTCCTGTCTCTGTGGTTCTTGAAAAGAAGATTTTTAAAAGATGTCCTTAATTTTTCTTTTATTTGTAGTAATCTTCCATTTGAAGAGGGAGTGGGCCTTCATTTGAATAAACTTAAATCCCATAATGGCATTTATCCAAGGATACTCTTTGCCAAGTTTCGTTGAATTTGACCAAAGATGAAAATGTGAAATTTTACAAACAAGAGGCCCATGGGCCACATCGCTCACCTGAGAAACTTTGACCAATCTGTTTTATACCAGATTTCCCCCTTGTAACACATATTGTGACCCCACCCTACCCCACTGATCAAAATTTAGACAATTTGAAATCTACACTACCCCAGGATGCTTCCACATAAGTTTCAGCTTTTCTGGCCCAGTGGTTCTTAAGAAGAAGATTTTCAAAGATTTTTACTATATATTTCTATGTAAAACTTTGATTCCCCATTGTGGCCCCGCCTTACCCCCAGTGGTCATGATTTGAACAATTTAGAATCTACACTACCCCAGGATGCTTCCACACAAGTTTCAGCTTTTCTGGCCCAGTGGTTCTTGAGCAGAAGATTTTCATAGATTTTTCCTATATATTTCTATGTAAAAATTTGATTCCCCATTGTGGCCCCGTCCAACCGCCTAGGGTCATGATTTGAACAATTTAGAATCTACACTACCCCAGGATGCTTCCACAGAAGTTTCAGCTTTTCTGGCCCAGTGGTTCTTGAGAAGATTTTTTAATGACCCCACCCTAGTTTTGTCTGTTCTTGATTATCTCCCCTTGTGAGGGGACTTGGCCCTTCATTTTAACAATTTAAATTCCCCTTCATTCAAGAATGCTTGGTACCAAGTTTGGTCAAAATTGGCCCAGAGGTTCTTGAGAAGAAGTCGAAAATGTGAAAAGTTTACAGATGGACGAACGGACAGACGACGGACAAAATGTGATCAGAAAAGCTCACTTTAGCCTTTGGCTCAGGTGAGCTAAAAAGATGACAAAGACATAAAATGAACAAAGGTTCACTTCTTTTAAAAACCAGCACTTATATCAATTGATTCTACTACTAAATTGGGTTTGTGATCAGGAGAGATCCTATATGAGATGTTTACCAATGCTTTTGAGACTCATCTTCCCGTGCGTCCTTGCGAACTTAGCCTGGGACAAAATGATACCCAGTATCCGTCTGCTTCCACGTGGAGGCATCGCATAGGACTTGTTGTGGAGAGGCTATGTACTGGCAGGGGAAGTCATTAGAATTTCTTCCCCCTTTTCGCATTGCTGCTAGCCAGCGGTGATGGCTGAAAGCGAGAGGTGACAAGCACACAGACACTAACACCAACACACTAGACGCGTCACACAACATTTAGCAGACGTTAGTAGTTTTAGTAGCTTGTTACTTGTTCAGGGTTCTCCATTGTTTGAAATTTTACTGTGTTGCAGAGTTTACGCAAAGCACTAAAATTTCACGGTATTTTAGCGATCAAATTTGCAACTGACTCACTATTCATTATAATTACTTAAGAATACATGCACACAATTTAAAAAAAAAAAAAATCACCAATTCATTACAAAAATAGTATGGTCGAACATATTAGCACATGTTGTGAAATGCAGAGGAAATTCTTGTCTATAAAGTTGAACTACTTACAATTTTTTAAAGCAAATTTGTCATAATTTTTTTGTCAATTTTATTGATCGAATTAAGGAATTACAAAAAAAGAGACTTCGGAATAGTAAAATACTTTTAAAAGTTCCTTGAAAATTGAAAACTATTTATTTACATCAAGTAAATGATTTTGGTACAGTGTTATGTTTGATTTACATTGCAAACATAATTCTAGAGCCATGGCTCTAAAGAAAAGACATTTAAATATATTTTTAAAAATAATACAATGTACTTTAATTGCAACTACTAGTACCAATTAAGCGTTACATGGAAGTTTGAAATCCAATTTTTTGTCTTTGTTCCTTCATGCGTCAAGTCCATTGAGGGTCTAGGAAATAATTGATTATGCAAGGTGAAAGCATAATTAAGTGATCTAGATATCGTATAGAATTGAAAGACGGTAGAATTGTTTGATCAATTATGTTTCAGATAGAGAGAATTTGTATGTTTCAATTTTTTTTTATTATCACAGATCTTACTGTGTCAGCAAAATTTTTAATGTGTCACACAGATAAAATTTGAATCTTTACTGTGTCGGAGAACATTTTTCTGTGTCGGGACCAACACAGTAAAACAGCTCATGGAGAACCCTGCTTGTTAGGGTGTTAATCATGCAAACCTATCCACCACAAGCACTAATCATGCACTAACTAACAAATACCTTAATTACAATAATAACCTACACTCCTCTAAGCTGTCTAACTATCAACTAAAGCCTACTTACTAACTCAAACTACAACACAACTGCACCTACCGGAAATACTATACAAACTAAACCTAAGACTAAGAAACACCTTTGTAACGCTACTTACAACTACTATACACCCCATACTTTCTGAATGCAGCAGAAAACACTCCAGACTGACCTTCAGAGGTGGCTATCTCTGCTTCCTGTCAATTCAAACTCAAGAGGTCAAAGCCTGAAAAAGCCAACATCAATTGGAAAGCCATAATATTGGGAAAAGGTGCTCAGAGGTCAAGTATGAATCTTACCGCACTTTCTGCTCATGAACGCTGTTAAATGGGAGAGGGACTGCTCTTCACTTCAGGATCCTGGTCAGCCTCAAATTTCTTCTGCTTAAAAAGAGAAAACAAACACATCAAAGGAGAATCACTCACATTCCCTAACAAATGACAAACTTCATTTAAATAATCAATTTGTTACTTACAACCTTGAGCCATATTGGTTGCTGCATAGAGATGGGAAATGGACTCGTCATCCTGTCTTTTGCTGTTGGTCGACCTTGCTCCTCCATCGTTGTTCCTCTTCCGAGTCCCTGAAAGTATAAAACTGGCACAATGTTAGTAAAACTTCAAAAGAATGCAACAAATCACGAAAAGTTACTTACCACTTTGGGCCATGTTGGCTGCTGTATGGAGATGGGAAATGGACTCGTCATCTCCTCTTCCTCTGTTGGTCGACCCTGCTCCTCCATCGTTGTTCCTCTTCCGAGTCCCTGAAAGTATAAAACTGGCACAATGTTAGTAAAACTTCAAAAGAATGCAACAAATCACGAAAAGTTACTTACCACTTTGGGCCATGTTGGCTGCTGTATAGAGATGGGAAATGGACTCGTCATCTCGTCTTCCTCTGTTGGTCGACCCTGCTCCTCCATCGTTGTTCCTCTTCCGAGTCCCTGAAAGTATAAAACTGGCACAATGTTAGTAAAACTTCAAAAGAATGCAACAAATCACGAAAAGTTACTTACCACTTTGGGCCATGTTGGCTGCTGTATAGAGATGGGAAATGGACTCGTCATCTCGTCTTCCTCTGTTGGTCGACCCTGCTCCTCCATCGTTGTTCCTCTTCCGAGTCCCTGAAAGTATAAAACTGGCACAATGTTAGTAAAACTTCAAAAGAATGCAACAAATCACGAAAAGTTACTTACCACTTTGGGCCATGTTGGCTGCTGTATAGAGATGGGAAATGGACTCGTCATCTCGTCTTCCTCTGTTGGTCGACCCTGCTCCTCCATCGTTGTTCCTCTTCCGAGTCCCTGAAAGTATAAAACTGGCACAATGTTAGTAAAACTTCAAAAGAATGCAACAAATCACGAAAAGTTACTTACCACTTTGGGCCATGTTGGCTGCTAGAGATGGGAAATGGGGTCTTCCTCTGTTGGTCATGCTCCTCCATCGTTGTTCCTCTCCGAGTCCCTGAAAGTATAAAACTGGCACAATGTTAGTAAAACTTCAAAAGAATGCAACAAATCACCAAAAGTTACTTACCACTTTGGGCCATGTTGGCTGCTGTATAGAGATGGGAAATGGACTCGTCATCTCGTCTTCCTCTGTTGGTCGACCCTGCTCCTCCATCGTTGTTCCTCTTCCGAGTCCCTGAAAGTATAAAACTGGCACAATGTTAGTAAAACTTCAAAAGAATGCAACAAATCACGAAAAGTTACTTACCACTTTGGGCCATGTTGGCTGCTGTATAGAGATGGGAAATGGACTCGTCATCTCGTCTTCCTCTGTTGGTCGACCCTGCTCCTCCATCGTTGTTCCTCTTCCGAGTCCCTGAAAGTATAAAACTGGCACAATGTTAGTAAAACTTCAAAAGAATGCAACAAATCACGAAAAGTTACTTACCACTTTGGGCCATGTTGGCTGCTGTATAGAGATGGGAAATGGACTCGTCATCTCGTCTTCCTCTGTTGGTCGACCCTGCTCCTCCATCGTTGTTCCTCTTCCGAGTCCCTGAAAGTATAAAACTGGCACAATGTTAGTAAAACTTCAAAAGAATGCAACAAATCACGAAAAGTTACTTACCACTTTGGGCCATGTTGGCTGCTGTATAGAGATGGGAAATGGACTCGTCATCTCGTCTTCCTCTGTTGGTCGACCCTGCTCCTCCATCGTTGTTCCTCTTCCGAGTCCCTGAAAGTATAAAACTGGCACAATGTTAGTAAAACTTCAAAAGAATGCAACAAATCACGAAAAGTTACTTACCACTTTGGGCCATGTTGGCTGCTGTATAGAGATGGGAAATGGACTCGTCATCTCGTCTTCCTCTGTTGGTCGACCTTGCTCCTCCATCGTTGTTCCTCTTCCGAGTCCCTGAAAGTATAAAACTGGCACAATGTTAGTAAAACTTCAAAAGAATGCAACAAATCACGAAAAGTTACTTACCACTTTGGGCCATGTTGGCTGCTGTATAGAGATGGGAAATGGACTCGTCATCTCGTCTTCCTCTGTTGGTCGACCCTGCTCCTCCATCGTTGTTCCTCTTCCGAGTCCCTGAAAGTATAAAACTGGCACAATGTTAGTAAAACTTCAAAAGAATGCAACAAATCACGAAAAGTTACTTACCACTTTGGGCCATGTTGGCTGCTGTATAGAGATGGGAAATGGACTCGTCATCTCGTCTTCCTCTGTTGGTCGACCCTGCTCCTCCATCGTTGTTCCTCTTCCGAGTCCCTGAAAGTATAAAACTGGCACAATGTTAGTAAAACTTCAAAAGAATGCAACAAATCACGAAAAGTTACTTACCACTTTGGGCCATGTTGGCTGCTGTATAGAGATGGGAAATGGACTCGTCATCTCGTCTTCCTCTGTTGGTCGACCCTGCTCCTCCATCGTTGTTCCTCTTCCGAGTCCCTGAAAGTATAAAACTGGCACAATGTTAGTAAAACTTCAAAAGAATGCAACAAATCACGAAAAGTTACTTACCACTTTGGGCCATGTTGGCTGCTGTATAGAGATGGGAAATGGACTCGTCATCTCGTCTTCCTCTGTTGGTCGACCCTGCTCCTCCATCGTTGTTCCTCTTCCGAGTCCCTGAAAGTATAAAACTGGCACAATGTTAGTAAAACTTCAAAAGAATGCAACAAATCACGAAAAGTTACTTACCACTTTGGGCCATGTTGGCTGCTGTATAGAGATGGGAAATGGACTCGTCATCTCGTCTTCCTCTGTTGGTCGACCCTGCTCCTCCATCGTTGTTCCTCTTCCGAGTCCCTGAAAGTATAAAACTGGCACAATGTTAGTAAAACTTCAAAAGAATGCAACAAATCACGAAAAGTTACTTACCACTTTGGGCCATGTTGGCTGCTGTATAGAGATGGGAAATGGACTCGTCATCTCGTCTTCCTCTGTTGGTCGACCCTGCTCCTCCATCGTTGTTCCTCTTCCCAGTCCCTGAAAGTATAAAACTGGCACAATGTTAGTAAAACTTCAAAAGAATGCAACAAATCACGAAAAGTTACTTACCACTTTGGGCCATGTTGGCTGCTGTATAGAGATGGGAAATGGACTCGTCATCTCGTCTTCCTCTGTTGGTCGACCCTGCTCCTCCATCGTTGTTCCTCTTCCGAGTCCCTGAAAGTATAAAACTGGCACAATGTTAGTAAAACTTCAAAAGAATGCAACAAATCACGAAAAGTTACTTACCACTTTGGGCCATGTTGGCTGCTGTATAGAGATGGGAAATGGACTCGTCATCTCGTCTTCCTCTGTTGGTCGACCCTGCTCCTCCATCGTTGTTCCTCTTCCGAGTCCCTGAAAGTATAAAACTGGCACAATGTTAGTAAAACTTCAAAAGAATGCAACAAATCACGAAAAGTTACTTACCACTTTGGGCCATGTTGGCTGCTGTATAGAGATGGGAAATGGACTCGTCATCTCGTCTTCCTCTGTTGGTCGACCCTTGCTCCTCCATCGTTGTTCCTCTTCCGAGTCCCTGAAAGTATAAAACTGGCACAATGTTAGTAAAACTTCAAAAGAATGCAACAAATCACGAAAAGTTACTTACCACTTTGGGCCATGTTGGCTGCTGTATAGAGATGGGAAATGGACTCGTCATCTCGTCTTCCTCTGTTGGTCGACCCTGCTCCTCCATCGTTGTTCCTCTTCCGAGTCCCTGAAAGTATAAAACTGGCACAATGTTAGTAAAACTTCAAAAGAATGCAACAAATCACGAAAAGTTACTTACCACTTTGGGCCATGTTGGCTGCTGTATAGAGATGGGAAATGGACTCGTCATCTCGTCTTCCTCTGTTGGTCGACCCTGCTCCTCCATCGTTGTTCCTCTTCCGAGTCCCTGAAAGTATAAAACTGGCACAATGTTAGTAAAACTTCAAAAGAATGCAACAAATCACGAAAAGTTACTTACCACTTTGGGCCATGTTGGCTGCTGTATAGAGATGGGAAATGGACTCGTCATCTCGTCTTCCTCTGTTGGTCGACCCTGCTCCTCCATCGTTGTTCCTCTTCCGAGTCCCTGAAAGTATAAAACTGGCACAATGTTAGTAAAACTTCAAAAGAATGCAACAAATCACGAAAAGTTACTTACCACTTTGGGCCATGTTGGCTGCTGTATAGAGATGGGAAATGGACTCGTCATCTCGTCTTCCTCTGTTGGTCGACCCTGCTCCTCCATCGTTGTTCCTCTTCCGAGTCCCTGAAAGTATAAAACTGGCACAATGTTAGTAAAACTTCAAAAGAATGCAACAAATCACGAAAAGTTACTTACCACTTTGGGCCATGTTGGCTGCTGTATAGAGATGGGAAATGGACTCGTCATCTCGTCTTCCTCTGTTGGTCGACCCTGCTCCTCCATCGTTGTTCCTCTCCGAGTCCCTGAAAGTATAAAACTGGCACAATGTTAGTAAAACTTCAAAAGAATGCAACAAATCACGAAAAGTTACTTACCACTTTGGGCCATGTTGGCTGCTGTATAGAGATGGGAAATGGACTCGTCATCTCGTCTTCCTCTGTTGGTCGACCCTGCTCCTCCATCGTTGTTCCTCTTCCGAGTCCCTGAAAGTATAAAACTGGCACAATGTTAGTAAAACTTCAAAAGAATGCAACAAATCACGAAAAGTTACTTACCACTTTGGGCCATGTTGGCTGCTGTATAGAGATGGGAAATGGACTCGTCATCTCGTCTTCCTCTGTTTGTTGACCTTGCTCCTCCATCGTTGTTCCTCTTCCCAATCCCTGAAAGTATAAAACTGGCACAATGTTAGTAAAACTTCAAAAGAATGCAACAAATCACGAAAAGTTACTTACCACTTTGGGCCATGTTGGCTGCTGTATAGAGATGGGAAATGGACTCGTCATCTCGTCTTCCTCTGTTGGTCGACCCTGCTCCTCCATCGTTGTTCCTCTTCCGAATCCCTGAAAGTATAAAACTGGCACAATGTTAGTAAAACTTCAAAAGAATGCAACAAATCACGAAAAGTTACTTACCACTTTGGGCCATGTTGGCTGCTGTATAGAGATGGGAAATGGACTCGTCATCTCGTCTTCCTCTGTTGGTCGACCTTGCTCCTCCATCGTTGTTCCTCTTCCGAGTCCCTGAAAGTATAAAACTGGCAC